TTCTCTTAAACACTCTGAGAACAGTCATTCACTATGAATCAGTCCCCTTTACTTGAAAAAAAAAAAAAATTAGCAATGCTTTTGGTTATCTCTTCATACTTAAGTGGAAGCTAAAGCATTTGTTCCATCATTTTATGACTTCTCTAGAACAGTCTCTCCCAAGTAGGATGTGTACTACTTAGAGTCTGTATGAAGATTCACTATTGTGTGGAAAGGAAATATGGGAAATATTATGTGTTCATATTATGTATGTATGTTCAAAAATTATGTAATGTTCATCATTGTAGTATTGATAACATGTAAGGAACTGACAAAGAAACACATCCTGAGAGCATGTGCCCACATTTTGTTTGCTCAACGGGATGGAGTTTGGAGACTACTGATGTTAAAAAAAAAAAAAAAGAGAGGGGTGCCTGGTGGCTCAGTCGGTTAAGTGTCTGCCTTCGGCTCAGGTCATGATCCCAGGGTCCTGGGATGGAGCCCCGCATCGGGCTCCCTGCTCTGCGGGGAGTCTGCTTCTCCCTCTCCCTCTGCCTGCCACTCCCCCTGCTTGTGCTCTCTCTCCCCCGCACGCCCCCCCGTCAAATAAATAAATAAAATCTTTAAAAAAGAAAAGAAAAGAAAACAACCATTCATACTAAACAAGAAATTATCTCAAATGGATTTTCATGAAGGCAAAGTTGTAGATAGTAAAGCAAGATTCTGAATTTATGTGAGCCAAATTACTAGTCCATTTACTTTTAATGGGAAACAACTAGCTGTTCTCTTCTGAACAAAAGCAAAGAATTCCCACCTTCCAACTTCTAAATTGAATGTCAAATATTTGGACAACCCCAACTTGTTCAAAAATGTAAATTCATTTAAAGAATTATTTTATTATTTTTTTGTATGACCTCAACCGCTTTAAAAATCTTAGAGAAACTGGTTCCAAATATAAGGAAAAAATACACAAGAAATTTAAATAATCATTTTCAAGTGGCTTATTTTTGTTATTGTTATTAAAATAAAATTATTACTGGTAAGAAATCTAGCAAGCAGTTTTAATTTGTGCTTAGTGCAATTTTTTATCAGTTGATATCACAGAAAGGCTAACATTGGAATTGCAGGTCTGCATGAACACTGACTCAAGTCAGTTTAATGTTTTAGTATTTTTAATAAACATTTCTTCTGATTACAAAAATACAAGTTATAGATGCTGAAATTATTTTGACTACATTTTTTAATGTGGTAAAACTATCCTCAATTTTTTCAATGTGGCATTTTTCTGTGTGTAAAAAAAAAAAAAAATTCAATTATTGTAGAAGAAACCAAACCACATTTAGAAAATACTACTACTATTACCACCAATAAAAATAATGTTAACAACAATAAAAATATTAATAGCAGTTAAGACTTATTGAAAGCTAATTATATGCCAGGCTCTGTTTTATGCACTTCTTATGTATTAATTTAGTGGTCCTGAACCGAGGCTGCCCATTATGCCTGTTAGAATTGCCAAAGGAGAATAACAAAGAAAATGATGCCTGGATTTCACCCCCAGAAGAGACTCTGACCCAGATGGACCAGGGTGGTAACCTAGACATTGGTGATTATAATGTGTGGCCAGCATTGAAAACAAATACATTAACATCATCCTGACAACAACAATCCTGAGGGGGTAATTATCTCTGTTTTGCACTAAGGAATATGAGACAGGATTCACAAGCAGGAGAACTGGGATTTGAACCCAGGTCTGTCTCCAAAACTTAAGCTTTTTACCACTAAGCTCGACGACCCCTCAAAGACCACAAAGTATTGTGTACTTGAGGGGGTGGTTTCACTCCCATGGTATGCATAAAAGATCATTTCTATAATTTCTTTGCAGTTAGATTTTAAAGAAAAACAAACTTTTGCATAACCTTGGCTGAAAAAACAAACAAGATTCTGATCCTGGAATTACTCCACATTGCACATGACTGGGAGGCTGACCAAGCCGTAGTCAGTGCTGAAATCAGGGATTTCACTGTTTACTGAGTGATCTCCCCGGTTGGCTAACTTAGTGCCCCAGGATCCCTCCTGAAGTCAGCTGTCTCAGGGTTAGCTTGTACTTCTTCCTCACCCTTTATTTACTAAGAAAGCTCAAATAAATAATACAGGTATACATGGCAAACAGGAAAAGTTCTTTTTTTCAGCTCATTTTTCTCCTCCAGGGCAAATAGGCTTGAAAGTTCAGAAGCCCCTTGCCAAGCAATATTCCTTATTGCGCTCCCCTCACCTACTCTAGCTCAAATAGAGGCTAATAAAATACTCACGCAATTAAAAAAAAAAAAAGGAAGGGTGGTGGGGGTGGTGGGAAATGAGAAGAAAACCCAGTCCTGTGTTATCAAGTGGTTTACCTGGCTAGCAGTCACGTGAATGACAACCTGGCGTAAAGTAACCTGAATCTTGTCCAACCACAAAGCATTCTTCCTGCTGGCCAGAGATGGTCTGGCTCAATGCTAAGGGCAAGTAAAAAGGCGAGTAGAGGGGCGCCTGGGTGGCTCAGTCGGTTAAGCGGCTGCCTTCGGCTCAGGTCATGATCCCAGGTACTGGGATCGAGCCCCACATCGGGCTCCCTGCTCAGCGGAGAGCCTGCTTCTCCCTCTCCCTCTGTCTGCTGCTCTGCCTACTTGTGCTCTCTCTCTCTCTCTCTCTCTGTTAAATAAATAAAAATCTTAAAAAAAAAAAAAAGGCGAGTAGAATTTAATTGGGAGAAAAATCAATGATAGCACTCTACCTATTTAGAGAGCAGAAATACTATCCTCTGAAACGCAGGGGGCCGAGGGTGTGACCCAGGCAGTTATCAGCTAACATGAGACGTGGAGTGTAAAGTAGGGGGTTTAAATCCATGACTTGCAAGGAACGAGGGAGCAGAGGCAGAGTCACAAAGTGGCATCCAGACATTCTACACTCTGTGGGGTCTGTGCCATGTCACTGTTCAAATAAGGCACTGCCTGGTATGATGTGATCAAAGGGTTTTAGCCAAGACATGGAAGAGCCAAGGGTATATTTATTGAGCACCATCTGCAAGCCTCTATGCTAGGTGCATTTTATGTGTTATCTCATGTGATCCCCACAACAATGCTGAAATGGGGTCTTATTATTTCCCAGCAATATTCCAGTATTATTCAAGTATTAAATAGGTAGAATGGATTTGAAAGGAGGCGTGTTTGCTTCTAAAACCTTCCACTCTGTGACACAGTCCCGCTTCACTTACCGTCTCTAGCCTAGGCTTCAGGTTTATTTGGTGCAACCAGTCTCAGTAAAGGCGCCTCTGAGCCACCAGCAGGGGCAGCGAGAAGCACAAGGCGGAGGCTCCTTTGCAAGCAGGAATCCGTTTGTTCCCTGAGACTCTAAAGCTATGTGTAGCAGTTCACTTCTGTCATTTTTTTTTTCTCTCTCAGGTTCTGCTTCTTGACTGGCTCCTACCATCTCCCCTCACATCCCATGCAGATGGCAGAGCCTGTCTCTGGTCATTTGCCAACTACTCTCAGAAAATTCTCCCACCCCAGAGAGGCTCCAGTCCACTTAGTATAACTGTCCAAAAGCTTTTACTTCTGCTCCAACAGCTGAGTAACAGGCTCGTGGGGTCATTTCGTCTTTTGTCACCCCCTTCTCATAGCTATTCCCTAGGACGATGTGATTAGCGGGCCAGGGAGAGACTTCTCATTCATTTAGGAAGAATTTATAGAGTACATATTATAAAAGCAGAAATGTTCTAGGTGCCAGAGACATAGAGGTCACTAGAATTCCGTCCTTCCTTCCAGTACCCTAGGGTTCTGCTCATTTGTTACAATGAGAACTGCCTGGAGACAGAGTCCTGAGATTCTGAGCAAGAGCACCTGACTTCCTTATTCAGAACTTCCTTCATGGGAGAGCCAGGGCAGGAGCCCAAAGTCAGCAGTTTGACTCAGAATTGTTCTCTCTATTCCCATGATTTTGTGCTGTCTTCCAGAGGTTTCTCTTCTGGAAACTTTACTGTGTTTCCCTCCCTCTACCTCTTTTTGGGAGCCATACCCCTTTTCAGAAGGTCAGGACGACAGAAAAAGTATGTCAGGGGAGTTTATGCCCTCTAATGAGTAGAAATGGCTGTCTTGTTTGAGCAACAGGTTGGAGACACACCCAAGAAGTAAACAAACCAAATCAACAGTAAGAGAGGGAGAGAGAGAGAGAAAAGGAAGATGGAGAGAGGAGGAATGGAGGAAGGGAGAGAAGGGAAGAAGGGAAGGGGGAAGAGGCGGCGGGAGGGTGGAGAGAGATGCTTTTCAGGTGAAGTCCTTAAGCAAGATGATTCTTTGCATGTGGTAAAAGTCCCATTTCTCCTTGATGAAAAACCCATTTAATATGGGAGGGGTGTGGCATACTGTCATTTCTTAGCAGTGCTCAAAGTTTCAATGCACCTGTTACTCAAAAACTGAAGTTGCCCTCAGAGCTCCAGAAACAGCAGGAGAGGGGAGAGAGGAGAGGAGGTTTAACTTGAAACTTAGCTTTCAAAATGATAGAATCACATTTATTCCCTATTTCCTTCCCATTGTCCTCTGGTGTTTTAGCAACTTCTGAGTTCTTGTACAAAGTTATCAGAAAGAAGGATTTTTTCTTTATAGCTTATATAGAAACAGTTTCCCAAAAACCTCCTGTTTCCCCAGGTTCCAACATAAAGCTGACCAGCTAAGTGAGTAGTTACTCCTGTCAGAGTAAAGACAGAAGTTTGCATGAAAAGAAATGTTCAGTTACTTATACCTGAGACATATTCACTCACACACGCAAGAACAGTTTGAGAGCCATGACTTTTTATAGTCGGTAGCAGATTTCCTCTAACAGCCAGGAAGAAAATATACATGCATTAGAAAACAAAAATTACACAAAGGTACCCACCCAAAAGCAAATCAGAAAAAAAATGCCCAAGTATACAAAACGGAATGAACAGGTATATGAAGGCAGTTTCTGGGAGGATGTAAATTCCTTTTAATGAGATTACTTACCCACACAAGTAGAATTCCCCTTTCCTGGGAGAGAGCCTCCAGGACAGTTCCATCGTTCCAGGACTGAGAGACTAGCAAAACTACATTTAAAAACTACCGGCAACAGAATGATTAGGAAGAGCAGCATAATCTTGATGGGCTTGAGCTTTCAACAGAAAATAACTTGACTTTGCTTGAGCATAGCCGGGGCAGAGTGGTTACGTTGGACCCCAAGCGTGTCCCCCCTGGGTTGGCGGGCAGCCCTGGGGCATCTTTCACTCTGCTTTTTTGCTGTAGTCCTCCAGCTCGTCCTCCTTCAACTCAAGACAGTGGCCTGCAGCCAGAAAGGGACCCTCGGGAAAGATTTCTTTATCGAAGTTCTTGGGAAGTCAGGAAGAAATACCTGACACCCATATGACAAATTTCGCAGTTTCACGGCCACTGACTTGTAGAGGTCTGCCGCTGACTTTTGCGGCGACAGGAAGAGCGGTGTAGGCCACGGCTAGAGAGAGGAAAAAGGGAAAGTGATGGAAAGTTCCGACCGCGACCCTTGATGAGGCTGAAAGAAGAAATACAGAGATAGGATTCCTCCCCAAACAGTTTCTCTTTTTGAAAAGTAGAATGACTCCCTTTCCTTTTCAAAGCCCTTTTGGCTCCACCTCCTCTCTCCTTTAGTGACACTTGAGTGAGCCTCTGTTTGCAAATGTGAGTGTGGTCAATTGCTCACTGCAGGAAAGCGGGGACGGCTGCCAGGGAGGAGATAACTGGCGACTCACCATAAATATTCTGGGCAGAACCAGGGAGAGAGCAATTAGGGGGCTGTGGAGTTGCTCCTGGTGTCTAGGGGGTACCTGCTGAAGAGTGGCTATGTTTTAATACGGGGAAGGATGGAAACAAAGTTAAACTGTGCCGTACAAATCAATAGTGAAAAACAGTGCCTGATAATTCAGACTTGGAGTAATTGATCATTCACGTGAGCAATATTAGAACAAAATGTCAACACCAGTGCACATTCCTGGAGCTTTATCTTTTTTATTTTCTCCTGTATATTTTATAGCGGAATTTGGAAGATTATTCTTTCCAAATCAAAGGGAAATCCCTGAAGCCAAATGAAGAGATACAGTATGCACAGACACCTTTTCTTTCAGCATGAGCATAATAAAACATCATGAGGGGCCAGGAGTGCAAGGAAAGGAGTGGGTTGTTATTACAGAGCCACGTTGGAAAAAATAAGCTAACAGTGCAAAATCTGGGAAGCACTGGAAATCTAGCAGAGCTGACTGCTATTCCTTCCCAGACAACTTAGGCTCTCTTTTCACCTCTCAGGGATAGAACATAAAAGCTTGACATACCCATTAGTTGTCTCCTCAGTTATTTTGTCAGGAATGCACCCAGAAATATCCAGCTCAGGCAAACCATTTACACCAGATTTGAGAACAGTGGAAATTTCTGTCAGTTTACTTCATCCTGGAAAACAAGCTTTCATATAAGTTGCCCAGAGGTAGTGTTCCAAGTGCTAGTCAAAATGTAGATAAAGCGATAGTCACAAAAACAACAGTCACACTAGTGAACACCCATTCTGGTAGAGAATGGGAAGAACTCCAAGCCTTTCAGTCAAATTTAATTATGTCCTCATCATTCCTCAGATACCGGGTTGCTTTCTGAAATGGCTAAAGTCAGGAGTTCTCTGATTTTAGCCGGCCTCTGCCAGACAGCTCTGATTTCTCACAAGAGAAGCAGACCCTGGCGGGCAGCAGAAGTCATGTGGGGGGACATATGGAATATTCCATTGCTTTCTGGACTCACTTGGACTTGAGACTCGGAATGAGTGTCCTACCAATAACCTGCACTAAGTTACTAACCTTGTTAAGCTTCCCCTTCAGCAAAATGCATAGTCAGTGTTAGAGAGGACAACAATTAGAAGGACAGTCAAGCATCAGGCTGGATTAGTGGAGAGGAGGAGGAATGACATGAGCACAGATATGAAGTAATCCACAACTATATTCTATTTGGATGTAGAATCTCTTGTACTATTTTTGGTCATAAAAAGTCTCACTTTCCTAATTACATGTCACCTGGGCTAATATGGTCATTAATGTTGAGCATAAGCCCCTTAGGAGATGATGGAGACAGCCATGGCTATGGGGTGGACATCAAGACTGGGGACTGATGGAAAAGATCAATCTCAGCTAATCCACAGAAAATCCAGGGTTGCCCAGATAGCAAAATCTTAAGCCAGAGCTACCCATGCAGGAAGGACTTGCAGCGATATTTTATTACTCCATATTCTTACTCCTAGATAAACCTGAACCTGACCTGGGCAGATGAACATCGTCCGTATTTTAAAGTTGCCCAGAAATCAGCAGAGAGTCTGCTTCTCCTTCTGCCCCTCCCCCCATCTCATGCTCTGTCTCTCCCTCTCTCTCTCTCAAATAAAATCTTTAAAAAAAACAAATTTAAAAGCAAAAAAAAAAAATCAGTTTTATGGGCCAAATACCCATTTCAGTTTCTGGCAGAGTCAAATTAACTGATTCATTGATTAATTAAACATCTATATATGATAGGATATTGTACATAGAGGTCATGGGCCCCTAAGTTTAAGAGCTTGCTTAGGCGGATTAACAACAACAAAAAATAGTTTATGAGTATGAGCTAATGAATGGCCAGTCACCAATTATTCTGGGCAACTACAGCAAACTGTGGACTGGAGCATGCAGTGAAGCTTCGTGTGATAAACAGGAAATCTCAGATCAGAGTGGAGAGGAGGAAAGCCAGGCTGACCATAGGACGTGGAACAGGAAATGGACAAAGAAAATAAATGCTTATTTATTGGATCCTTAGATCCTGAGAGGACATGGATGGATGGGAGGAAACCCTACTGGTGGGTCAGTAAGAGAATTAGGCATTAATGGCAAGGAGACTGCTGTGAATGTTTTTAAGCATAAGTGGACATTAATAGAAGAAGGTAGGCTATTGGGAGACATGGTTATATGTGCTGGTCACCATTCTTACCCTGCAGATAAAATTTTCCTATTGAGGCACAAAGCACTTAATTTTCCTGGGTTACAGATTTGTTGTATGCCCAGCTGCTGTTCATCATCACCACTACCACACCATCAACAGATTGTTCCCAATGAGCCAGGCATAGAGGAAGTAGATGCTTTATTCACAGCACCTCCAATCTTCCCCACCACCTTGCAATTCACAAATGAGGTCCATTTCACAAATGAGGACACTGGAGATCAGAAAGACTGAGAAATTTCCCCAGTATCACATCCATTTATAGAGGGCATAAACTCTGAAGTCATTACTGTCTCCTTCTTGACAGTGGTTTTGATAGGAATAAACAGGCTGGGCCATCACCAAAAGAAAGAGCAAAGCTTATACTACACACATGCATATGACTGCAGGAACCCGAAGGGACAAGGCAGTGTATTTCCATATGAATAACTATTAGCACTTAACATCCACCTGCCAAAGCAATATACAAGCTATTTCATGGGCTGCTTCTGTCAATGACTATCAGGTGTATCAGGGTAGTTCCTACAAGTCTGAAAACATCTTGCTTTTCAAAGAGAAAGTTGTCGACATGTGTCTGGCATTCTTGTGATTCATATGTGAGAGAAATTGAAATGGTCTTAAGGGAAAGAAATTGGGAGGGACACAGTCACAGGAGTTAGCTACACAGGCAAATTATAATCTATCAAGATACAAATAACAGATGTAAAAGTTTTCTTGAAAAAGAAGGGCAATTATGCTCCTTAGTATTTACTCAAATGAGCTGAAAACTTATGTCCACAAAGAAAACCTACACACAAATATTTATGGCAGCTTTATTCATAATTGCCTAAGGTTGGAAGCAACCAAGATGTCTGTCCTTCAAGAGAAGAATGGAAAAATAAACTGTGGTATATCCATACAGCAGAATATCACTCATGAATAAAATGAACCATCAAGCCATTAAAGACTTGAAGGAATCATAAGTGCATATTGTTAAGCCAATTTGAAAAGCTACATACTGCATGAATTCAACTTTATAACATCCTGGAAAAGGCAAAACTATGGAGACAGTAAAAAAGATCAGTGGTGGTCAGGGGCTGCGGTAGGGAGAGATCAATAGGAGGAGCACAAAAGATTTTTAGGGCACTAAATCTATTCTGTATGATGTAATAATGGTGAATATATGTCATTATACATTAATGTATTTATCAAAACCCATACAATGTACAACAAGCATGAACTCTAAACTATGGACTTTAGTTAATAACAATATGCATCAATATTGGCTCATCAATTGTAACAAATGTAGAACACCAATGCAAGGTATTAACAACAGGGGAAAGGGAGGGAGGGAGGAATATGGGAATTCTCTGTACTTTCTGCATAGTTTTTCTGTAAGTCTAAATCTGCTTTTATAAAAATGGTCTATTTTTTTTAAGAAAAGGAGGGGAGTCACTATCCACTATCCAGTTAAGCAATGCTATGCTTAATGCACAGATTAAGTAATGCCATGCTTCTTCTACCAAATGAAATCAGATTTTAAAAAGCACTTGATAAACAAGAGTAGAAGAGGAGTCTTGCCCATGCTCCATTTTTCAGCTAAGTCCACCCCAGTCACCTAGAAAGGTTCCTCTGACCAAGAGGAAGAAACAAGCCTCCAGAAACTGGACAAATAAAAAAGAACGTAACAATCTATAATATATAATTTATAATTCTATGAAGCAGCAGCAAAATTTAAAATTAAAACAAAAGCTCATTTTAGACTGTTTGTTTGCAACCTGAGGAGTTTCTTGGGTGAAATCTGAAAGTGACCCTGTACTGGAAGGGCAGGGAGAAGCCAAGAAAGGGGCAGGCCACTCCAGATGGGTAAGTGGAAGCTTTTTGGTTTTTGTTTTACTCCTGAAATAGAGAATTTTATTTAGAAACTGTTTAAAATAGGAAAAAGAAAAAGAAAAAAAACCTATCAAGAAAGACCAGGTGGATGGGCACCTGGGTGGCTTATCGGTTAAGCATCAGACTCTCGATTTCGGCTCAGGCCTTGATCTCAAGGTTGTGGGATCAAACCCTGGGGGGCGGCGGTGCTCTGTGCTGGGTGTGGAGTCTGCTTAAAGGTTCTCTCCCCTGCTCCCTCTGCCCCTCCCCCCACTCTCTCCAAGAAAGGAAAAAAAGGAAGACCAGGTAGAAAGTGAGTTTCCAATAAAATGGAAGTTCGGGGCAACAAAAGTCTAAAAAGCCACAAAAGAGAAATGGCACCACTGCTTTCCTTGAACAATGGCTAATTTACTTGCATTTTTTGTCATTGTTAATCACTGACTCTGGGTTTTCCTCTGAATTCCACACATTGCGTGCACTACACAATTTTATCATAAAGTACCTGCTTTGTACACACATTTTAGGATAAGCTAGGGAGGTGGCAGTTTTAATAAGCAAGGGAACTTACTTAGGAGGCTCGTCATAGGAGGTTGCAAGACAAGTGGATCTCTGCACTCACTCGCCAGAATCTTAAAAGTTTATACAGAAGCCGTAACAGAGTTTAATCGTGTATATCCTACAGATAGTCTCAGCAACACATTGCTCTCTCAAGGTTGCATCCTTGAAATGGCTCCAGCTACAGGAACGATGAGCTGAACGGAACTTCCCAGCCAGGGGAGGAGGTGGG